GAATGAGGGATATCATTACTGATGTCAGATGAATCTTGGCTGAAAGCAGAGAATACCAAAAAGATATTTACTTGTGCTTTACAGACTATGCAAAGACTTTTGACTATGTGGATCATAAGTTATGGATAACACTATGAAGAATGGGTATTCCAGAACACTTGACTGTGCTCATGAAGGACCTGTACACAGACCAAGACGCAGTGATTCAAGCAAAACAAGGGGATACTGAATGGTTTAAAATCAGGAAAGGTATATGCCAGGGCTGTATTCTTTCACTATACTTATTCAATCTGTATATTTAGCAAATAAACTGAGAAGCTGGATTATAAGAAGAAGAGTGTGGCATCAGGATTGGAGAAGGATTAATTAATAATCTGAGATATGCTGATGCTACTATCTTGCTTACTGGAAACTGAGAGGCCTATGGAATCCTGATGTAGCACTGTAGGATAAGCACTAGGTCATAAGGTTGGTTTGAATCACAAGGTTGGTGGTTCAAACTCACCAGCCACTTCTCAGAAACCCTATGCAGGGCTGCTATGAGTTAGAACCAACTTGATGACACTTAACAACAATAACAAAATATTTACTGATAAAAATCAAAGTTAACAGCTTTCAGTTTGTAAGCCAGGCTTCAACCTATAACTGATTGGAATACCTAAAATGGGGCTAGAACTTGCCCAATGAAAGAGGCTTCCTGTAGAGCCTTTGCATTGCAGAAGACCATAAGGAGCTCTGGTAGCGTAGTGGTTACAAATCAGGCTGTGAACCTTAAGGTCAGCAGTTCGAAACTACCAGCTGTTCTGCGGCAGAAAGAAGAGGCTTTCTGCTCCTGTAAACATTTACAGCCTCAGAAACCCTGTACAGGGTTGCTATGAGTCGGAATCGACTCCATGGCACATAACCACCACCATCATAGGTGGAATCCTGATCCCCATCCAGAATCTTTTGAGATGGGAAATTTCCACTTGAAAAGCAGACCAACCAGGAGCAGCTAGAAGAACAGAAGATACTTCTTGAAAGAAAGACCAGCAGGAAAAATGAAAAACAATAACAACAGTCTGACTGACCACTACAAGAACAAGCAAGTTGTTCACACGGGGGAGTCATCAAGACAGGCAATCAAGTGCCCTCAGGGCAAACCCCTTTCCAAGATTGAAACTCAAAGGGAATACACGAGCAGGCATGTAATCTTGCTGGTGACCATGTTGGTCTACCGATAAGGGGAAGTGGGGGGAAAACAGCAATAAAGTTGTGAGCTAAGGCCTACCACGTTCAATAAACTCCTGTCAACCTGGATCTTGACCTGGGTCAAGGTCAGCAGTATAGCAAGACCTGGGGATTCCTGAGCCCATGGACAGGGACATAGTCACAGAGGACTAGAGCATAAAGTGAAGTGTCCAGCTGATATGAAGTAAGGGGAGATGCACAAGAATGCCCATACTTGCAGATAGTACCCATTTGACCTAGCTTCAATGGCTGGATGATCAGAATTCAACTAGAGGAAGAAAGAAGAGGGAAAAAAATGTAATCCACTACAATTTGATGAACTTGACCTATGTTTATGGATGTAGTAGCTTAAAAAAGGGAATGAATCTTTACAGTGAAGATCATTCCCACCCCCTCTGTACACAGGGTTGACAGGCAACTTAAACATTGACTACCCAAAATGGGGGTGGGAGGGTGGGGAACAAATTCATGACATGACTGGCTTACAAGTTTTCAAAAGGAAGCTTAATTTCAGATGGTGTGGGGGAAGGTAGAATCTCCACTGAGTGGTTTCCAACCTATCTAGATGGGGTTGGTGAAAGGAGAAAGATAAGACTCTTGTGGTTCAATAGTGAATAATTGCTCAGGACTGATTGTGAATGTTGCAAATGTAAAAGTAGACGTTTTGTAACAAAAGGAAGGAATGGTTGACTTTGTAGTACAGGAGCAGAGAACCCCGGGACCATCAAGGGAGAAGAATGGAGTACAGGACCCTATCCAGAGAAGCAGCAACCCCAGAGATGGAGGCAGAGACGATGGCGTGGAAAGACAGAGCAGCTGGGGACTCTAGACTCAAGGAGGGAGAGGGATGGTGTGCTGTTGGCCAGGGGGCTGGCATGCAGAATATACCCTTTGGTTGTTTGAATGGTTATATATTCCTGAGTGCTTTGATGTACATCCAAAAAACAAAACAAAACAAAACAGAGGGAATGGAAGCAAATGCTGTTGAATGATGATGCATGGAGGGGATTGTAGTCATTGCAATGAAATGAAATATGATAGGATCAATGTAAAGCTGATGTAAACTCCCATGTAAACTGTCACTTAATTCACAATAAAAACTGATTTTTAAAAAAAGATAAAGTTTTCAGTCTGGATTGCACTTCAATGTAAAGAAAACAGAAATCCTTGCAACTGTACCAATAAATAACATAATAAATGGTTAAAAGATTGAAGTTGTCAAAGACTTCATTTTGCTTAGATCCACAATCAACATTCATAGAAGTAACAGTCAATAAATCAAACGATGTATTGCACTAGGCAAATATGCTGCACAAGACCTCTTTAAAGTGTTCCAAAGCAAAGATACCAGTTTGAGATCTAAGGTTAGCCTGACACAAACCATGGTTTTTTTCAATAGTTTCACATGTGTGTGAAATTAATAAGGAAGACCACAGAAGAACTGATGCATGGGAGAAAAATATTGAAAGTACCATGGACTGCTAGAAGAACAAACAAATTTGTTAGGAAGAAGTACAGTTAGAATGTTCCTTAGAAGCTAGCATGGCGAGACTTCATATCTCATACTTCAGATGCACTATCAGGAGGGACCCGTCCCTGGTGAAGGATATTGTGCTTGGTAAAGTGCAGGGTGGGCAAAAAAGAAGACTGTCAAAGAGACGGATTGACACCATGGTAGCAGCTCTAGCATAACAATTGTTAGGATTGTGCAGGACATGATGGTGTTTTGTTTTGTTGGGCATGGGATCACTATAAATTGGAACCAATTTTATAGCACCTAACAACAACAACAACAACAACAACATAGCTTTGGTTTTAGACTTGAGTAAGATGATATGTGTATATAACTTGTATTGGGGCATGTTAAGTCTCCTGTGGTCAATGATGAGACATACAGTATAATTATTGTCATTATCATCATCAGAGTTCTGGTGTGCCACTGTAGGATAAGCACCTGACTTCAAGGTGGGTTTGAGCTGCAAGGTCAGCAGTTCAAACCCACCAACTACTGCTCAGAAACCCTATACAGGATCGCTATGAGTTAGAACTGACTCGATGGCATTTAACAACAATAACAATCATCATCATTATCATTACACTCACATTAGGTCAAGAAAACAGGGTTTATGATCACAGTTCTCTTCCAATTAGGTAAATGTCTTTGGGTAAGTCATTTAACTTTTTAGCTCTTCAGTCTCCTAATCTATATGATGATGTCCAAATTCCCATCCAGGACAAGCAGACCTGAGCAGAGTCAGGGCAGAAAGATCTGAGGTTTTGTAGAGAGGCTTGTGGAGAGCTTCCGCAAAATAGCCACAAAAAGAAGGGTCCATGCCATGGAACTGGAGTATTAAGAAAGTATTCTATATCAGTGTTATCCAGGAAATGCGATTTCACAAATAGGTAGTAAAATGTAAGTTTCTGTGAGGTCAGCATAGGTTTATCAACTTTTTATCTTGCCAAGCAATCAAAATAAAAAACAAAAATAACAACAAAGCAAAAAACAAGCAAAGTTTTAAAAATCATCTACCTACCACCACCATCCATTCATTCTATAAGAGAAATTTCACTACCAGAATTTAGAAAGAACATAAACATATAATCTTTATGAATTGATTTATAAATTTCACTGTAATGAAAATAGGATCAGGTGAAAATCATCATTTAAATATCAATAAACTCTTTGAGTAAGGGAAAATAGAGGAGAAAAAAGATAAAGAATTTAACCTTGGATACAAGAAAGAAAGAAGATGTAAACTGGGAAAGGGTTTCTAGTCTGCTATAAAGAGGTCTGATTCAAAAGACAGCATTCCCCTTAATATTTCAACATCTAAATAAGAGCATATCTATTTGGGTTTATTTTGCCATTCTGAAACCACTATCTGTTACTCTAAATAGATTAAGTACTAGAGTATAAACAGTAGCTAAAATAATCAAGTTTGCATATCCATGAATTTGTTTATCAATACTACTGTATACTCAAAGCACCAAAACAGTATCAGTAATAATATTTAATATGACTGACTAAAAGCAGTATATTGTTGTTGTTATGTGCCATGGAGATGTTTCCAACTCATAGCGATCCTGTATATCTTTATGGGAGCAGAAAGCCTCGTCTTTCTCCCGTGGAACAGCTGGTAGTTTCAAACTGGCCGGATTCATAACCACTACGCTACCAGAGCTCCTTAAAAGCAGTGTATTACTTACCATTAAAGTTATAGACTAATGGATACAACAACTGCTTTGTAAAATTTAGTGTTATTGTTAAGTTTAGTGTAGATGGGAATAAATGAAACTAACCTAAAATCTAACAATAAAGAAAGATTATAAGCATATACCTTGTAAACTGACATAACAAAATATTGTTATTGTTGTTATGTGCCCTGAAGTTGGTTCCGACTCACAGCGACCCTGTACAGGGTTTCCAAGGCTGTAAATCTTTACTGGAGCAGAAACCTCATCTTTCTCCTGCGGAACAGCTATTACATAACATAAAACACCTTGTTTTAAAAAATAATTTAGTGATTCATGAAATTGTTCAAGCTATAATATAAAGTAGAAAAAGCATTACAAATTTCTAGCCAATTCCCACTTGTATGAATATTTACAATAGGTAAAAATGCAACTAAAAATAACACTGATTGTCTCTGATATTATAGATCATTTCTCATTCTTTGTATTTTTCTGTATTTCATATATTTACAACAATAAATACACATTGCATTTATAATTAGGAAGAAATGCTAAATAAACGTAGCAAAAATACTTACTTTGGGGAGTTTAGGATTGAAGTAGTTAATTATGCAAAACTCAAAGTAAGAGGCAAATCCCTCATTGAGCCAGATATTGTTCCACCAACTCATGGTAACCAAGTTTCCAAACCACTTTTAAAGATGGGAGAAAAGAGAATTTTCTTAACTTTAAGTACTATTTATTGTAGTGACATGTTAAATAAATGCAAGGTAAAAATATATACTTAAAAATGCATTTGCTATCAATACTAAAACCTGAAAACAAGACTCTAACAATCACATTACTGATTTAACATGAAGACATATTAGCCATGTATTTGCTCTCACATAATTATTTCACATCCAGTGATTGAAATCAATTCTTAATTTTAAACTGTGATGTTTATAGTAAGATAAGCTAGAGTTGTTGTTGTTAAGTTGCCATCTGACTCATAGCGACCCTGTATAGGTTTTCCGAGAAGCAGCTGATGGATTTGAACCAACAACCTAGCAGTTAGCTTATGACTAGCAATGCAGTTCTTATCCTACAGCTCTACACCAGGACCCCAAGTTAGAGTAACATTTCTCTAACAGTCGACTTTGCCCAAATGTGTTCCTGAATGTTGACTTAACACCTACAAATAAGGAGCTCTGGTAGCACAGTGGTTACGAATTGGGCTGCTAACCTCAGGGACAGCAGTTTGAAACTGCCAGCTGTTCTGCTGGAGAAAGATGAAGCTTTCTGCTCCTGTAAAGATTTACAGCCTCGGAAACCCTGTACAGGGTCGCTATGAGTCGGAACCGACTCTGACTCCATGGCACATAACCACCAATTACAGCACATCATATTATAAATAGGCTACTTCAAGATTTTGTTCTAAGTAGTTGTGTTTTAAAAATGTGATTTGACCTGCATCATGTACAACTCAATGATGAGGCCATGCAATTCATATGTTCTGCAAAATGATTCCAGTGTAATCATCTTCTATTTCAATTTAACATGAAGAAAGTGTCAAATGGATGATGAGCACAATCAAGAAAGCCAAACACTAGCTCCCAAATCAATCAATCCATGCCCTAGTATTTAATCAAATTCTTACAACAGCTGTAATGGACTAATAGTTAGCAGCCTGTATTTCCAAACAACGTCACTTAAGGCTATAATAAAAAAAGACATTTGCAGAGACTGATCAAAACAACAACAACTGAAGACGTGCAAGTAATCTTTCAGTGATCTTTTTAAGTATCACTTACTTTAAGATGGAATGAAAAACAAATAACTACTGCCTGCTTGGCTTACTTTTCCTGAAGCTGAATTTGTGGAGCAAAGTTAGCCTTCAGATACAAACATCCAATTCTTGGCTGGACTGTCTGGTTGAATAGGTACGATTCAACACCAATAATTCAAATCCGCTCAGAATCTCATTACACTGTTTCTAATTACTGTCACATCTTTCAAATACATACACACACATATATGTTGTTGTTAAGTGCCTTCAAGTTGCTATAGGGTTTCTGAGGCTTTAAATCTTTGTAGGAAAGAAGTCTCATCTTTCTCCTGAGGAATGACTTGGATGCTCGAACTGCGGACCTTGTGGTTCACAGTCCAGTGCTTATAGTATGGCACCACTGTGCACCTATATATGTGTGTGTGTGTGTGTGTGTATAATGTAATATAATATCTATTTATCCATCATCTATGTGGAGTTCTGGTGTGATACTGCGGGCTAATGCATCAGACTTCAAAGTCGTTTGAACTGCAAGGTTGGTGGTCCAAACTCACCAGTTGCTCCTTGGAAACTCTATAAAGGGTTGCTATGGGTCAGAATCGACTCAATGGCACTTAACATAACATAACCTAATGTAACATAACATAACATCATTTATGTATTCCGTGGTGCTATAGGATAAGCACTAGACTGCTTACCACAAGGTTGGTGGCTCAAACCCACCAGCACTCCTCAGAAACCCTATATAGGGTCACTATGAGTCAGAACCAATCTGAGCAGCACTTTAACAAGCAGCAGCACTTAACAACAACTTTATGGTTCAGTGCATTATCTTGCAACGCCACACCAGGACTCCCGATATATGCTATAGGATAAGCACTGAACTGCTAGATACAAGGTCACCAGTTCATACTCACCAGCTGCTCCTCAGAAACCTGTATAGGGGTCGCTATGAGTTGGAACCCACTTGACAGCACTTAATACATACATACATATACATATATATATATATATATATATGTTGTTTTGTTGTTAAGTGCTGTCAAGCCAGTTCTGACTCATAGTGACTCTGCATAGGGTTTCCAAGGAGCAGCTGGTGGGTTTGAACTGCTTACCTTGTGGTTCACAGTCCAGTGCTGATCCTACAGTGCCACACCAGGAGTCCATTATGTATATACTGGTACACAGCAGGATCATGTTTTTGTTTTGCTTTGGGTTTGGGGTTTTTTAGTACAACTGCTGAAGAATACCTTTGTATGAAATAAGAAAAAACATTTTACCACATGCCTGATGTCCAATCTCATGGGAGATAATGTAGGAGATCACAGTCTTCTTTCCTGTCAGCTGATCACTTGGTTGCAGCAACAATAATGACTCATCAAACATCAATAATCCCCAGTTTTCCATTGCACGATTGTCAAAAATAGGTAAGGCAATTATATCTAAGTGGATTTAAGTGGGGGGTGGGCAAAATGAAATTATCTCTTCCAAAAAATCTGTAGTTTCCAGATATATATATCACAAAATTCAAATTTAAAATTACTGAAAGAAAATATAAACAAATACTTATGAGGGAAGAGAAGGCTTTATTTAAAGAACAATACCAAAGATAAGATCCAGAAAAAAATTGTTTTGACATATAAAAATTAAATAATTTAGATGACCAAAAAGATACCATAAACAAATTTGAAAGACAAACCACAACTGGAGAAAATATTTACAGCCTAGATCACAAATAACCAGACAGTATTTAAAATATATATATATATATATTTAAGAAACTCTAACAAATCAAACAGAAAACAAAAATGTGAACAATTTACCAAAGAAAGCATTCATATGGCCAAAAATTCCTATTAAATTTTTAAATTTAAAATTTATAAGAAGATTAATAATTTATACTGATGTAGGTAGGGAAGCAGGGTAGCTCTAAAGGATAAGCATTTATTTGAGAACCACAAAGTGTGTCTTTTGAGCTCACAAGTCGCTCCTCGGGAGAAAGACGAAGCTTTCTGCTCCTGCAAAGATTTACGGACGTGGAAACTCTATACAGGGTCGCTATGAGTCAGAATCGACTTCACAACATTTACCAACAACAGCAGCAACAAGTTGGAGGAAAACTGCCACATAGCCGATTGGTGAGAGTATAAATAAGTACAACATTTCTAGAGCAATCTGGCAAAATATTTTGCAATCTTGCAAATGTTCATAGTCCTTGAGTTTTGGACTTTAAACTATAAAACATGGAAAGATTTATACTAAAGCTTGAAGAGATTTACCACAATAATTATTTTTAGTGAATTATAGTAACTCAAAAAAGGTGGCATCAGAGAAAGCGAGAGAGTGCTGTATATTGTAGGGATTGCAATCACTGTCATGAAAGAAAATGTTTATAAACTGTTGAATGGAAATTAATTTGCTCTGTGAATTTTCACCCAAACCACAACAATAAGTTAGGGAAAAAGATATAAATGGAAAAAGTTTTTAAACATATCTTATTAAACAATTTATTTTAGCAAATTGTTACATAGGCATTCTATATCTTAAAAATGACAAAATGAAAGTATAGTTAGTTATCTAGATCATGTTGCTATATCCTGTTATTTTTACAAAGTCATTCAAAGAACAAGGTCAATGCTATGGTGCAATTTTTATTAAAACAAAGAAACAATTACAGAGACACAGATTGAACTAAGGTAGACAGTGAGAAATAAAAGTACACACCAAAATGTTAGCAGTGGTTAGTTCTGTGATTGTTGTTGTTGTTGTTAAGTGCTGTTGAATCGGTTCTGATTCATAAAACCCTGTAGAGGGTTTCTGAGGAGTGGCTGGTGGGTTTGAACCATCAACCTTACAGTTCAAACTTACCTTGCAGTCTAGACCATTATGCTTGAAAAAGGAGATTTTTCTTCTCTCTCTTTTTTTACTTTTATTTTTCCAAAATTTCTACCATGTGATCATTTGTTACTTCTATAACTATAAGACCAAGATAAGTTTCTTTTATTTTTCTAATAGAAGAAATATCATTCTTCTATAGCCATACTGTGATTGCTTAATGAATGCTCTGTGCTGTGCTATGCTGATGTTTGTTGTTATTAAGTGCCATTGAGTCCATTCTTACTCATAGTAATCCTGTATAGGGTTTCCAAGGAACCGCTGGTAGGTTTGAACTGCTGACCTGTGACTCATAGCTGCTACTACAGTGGCACACAAGAAGTTCATATGTAACTTAAATTAACTTCACCCATGCCTGAAGTTAACCATGTACACTTGTACAGCTTAGTGCATCCATTTCATCACATAGTCTTTGGCACTCTATTATCTTTGCACATACTTAAGTTGACTCAGGCTAAGTTTCCCATTCATTTATCCTTCCTTCCCTCACCCAAGAATACTCTGCTCTACTCAAGCAAATCTCTTTTGTTCTCTACTATCACTGAGCCTTTCTTTGCTCATGCTGTTTCCCCTGAATCCATGAAATGGATTGCAGTTCCATGAATTCTGACTCATAGGCCCTAAAGGATAGAACAGAATTGCCCCATAATGTTTCCAAGGCTGTGAATCTTTACAGAAGTAGAATACCACAGCTTTCTCCCATGGAACAGATAATGAATTCAAACCATTGACTTTTCAGTTAGCTGCTGATCACTTTAACCACTGTATTACAAATTCTCACCAGTTCTAAGAAGTCATTTATTTTTATTTCATAGAATCAAACAAAATAAAATCCTCTCTTCTTGATAAGCAATGAACATTCATTCACCTATGACCCTATTTTATTTAATTTTAATAATCAATCCATTATACTGAAGTAATAACTAAGTATCCATGAAGCTACCATCTCAACTTTTAGAACAAACTTTGGCATGTTTTTTTCTGTTACGAGCCAGATAGTAAATATTTTCAGCTTTGCAAGTGATATAGCTTCTGCTAGAGCATTCAACTTTGGCATCAAAGTGCAAAAGCAGAAATGTTGTTGATAGGTGCCATCCATCTCATTGGGGGGGGGTGGATCTTCCTCTTTTTCACTGACCCTCCACTTTACCAAGCATGATGGACTGGTCCTTTCTGACAACATGTCCAAAGAACGAGAGATGAAGTTTCACCAACCTCACTTTTAAAGAGTATTCTGGTTGTTCTTCTTCCAACATAGATTTGTTTGTTGTTCTAGCAGTTCATGGTAATTTCAATATTTTTCTCCAACACCATAATTTAAATGCAAGCTGAAAGCCACAACAGTCTGAAAACCTGACAGATGAGTGGTAGATTCTTTATGAGTATTGTTCAGTGCTTCTTTATTGTAAACTCATGAATATCTTTTATATTATCTTAGATTCTAAATTTTAGTATTCATTGATAAAAGATAAACTGAAAGAACAACTTGAGAGAAACACAGTCAGTGGCTTCTTACATAACTTACTAAGACTAACAGTATGGACTACGCATGTGAAATGTTGTAGTGAAGGGGTTTTGTTCTTTTATTTTTTAAAATGATTTAGCCAGGAGATAAAGTAATTAAGAACCATTAGTTTATAAATTTTTCTTAATAATCATGCACTAGAAAGATTACTTATTTTACCTATCTGTAAAAAACACATTTTTATTGAGCACCTTCTATGTGTAATATTGACTAAGTTGTCAAATACCACCCTGATCTCCAGGAGTTGTTAATCTAGTCAGAATTTAAGTGGAATTACCATAGTCATTGTCCATATTTTCCCCCACCACAAATATTTACTGTTTGTCAATGTGAGTCAAGTTCAAAGAAAGACATCATTCAGGTCCTGACCCCAGGTTGAATACAGTATTTTGAGGGTTTTGATAAAGGGGTGCAGGATTCTACAGAAACATGAGAAAAGAAGTCAGGGAAGTCTTTCTGGAGGAGGAGGGTTTGAGTTGAGTAACACAGGAGTTAAACAGCTTGGTAGAAAGGCATTCCAGAATGCTCAAACTGCATGTTCAAGAGCTTAGGGATGAGGAGAGAAAGAAGATTCATAGGAGACAACAGAAATAGTGCCAGAGAACCTCTTCCATACTGTGCTGTCGTTGTTAGGTGCCATAGAGTCAGTACCAACTCATAGCGACCTTATGCACAGTAGAACGAAATACTGGCTGATCCTGGGCCAACCTCACTATTGTTGCCACACCCTAGCCCATTAATGCTGCCACATGGCCAATTCATCTTGCTGAGGGTCTTCCTCTTTTTCTCTGACACTCCTCCACCTTACCAAACATGATATCCTTCTCCAGTGACTGGTCCCTCCTGACAATATGTCCGAAGTATGAGAAATGAAGTTTGGCCATCTTGGCTTCCAAGGAGCACTCTGGCTGCACTTCTTCCAACACATATCTGTTGGTTCTATGGGCAGCCCATGTAGAACTGCCAAATTTCCTGAGAGGTTTAACAGGATGATAGAGTTTGGACTTTCTCATCAGAGTAATGGGAAGCCACAGAAAGCTTTTAAAGATGAAAGTAACATGATTGGATTTTTGCTCTGGAACGATCCCTCTGGCTTCAGTATGAAGAAACCAGAGAAGAGCTGGTGCAATAGAGATGTTCGTGATATAAGCTACAGTGAATTATAGGATGGGAGAAGTAGATGAATGTAGGAGATAGTATGGAGAGGACTAATTGGATGGAAAGGCTATATTGAGGAAATAAGATGTCAAGGTTAACTCTGGACTTTTCTTTTAGTATGCACAAAAGAAACTTTTCTTGGATAGATAAGTGTCATTTTGAAATACCTCACCCTCAGAAGTGCCAGGAGCTTTGCCTCTAAGGCTGGCCTCCAAGGCTGTGTTCCTGCTGCCTCCAACACCTTAAATGATAGGTATCCTCTCCAGGAACCCTGAATGGGCCAAAGCTGGTCCCCATTCTTCTTTAATTGGAACATTAGAGCACCAGGGGCTACAGACATCCTGGTGCTCATGACATTTGAGCTCCCAAATAGTTATTCTTCACCTTTTCCCATCATCTGCCAATATAGGTTGTTATTGTTACATGCCATGAAGTCAGTTCCGACTTGTAGCGATCCTGTCTAGGGTTTTCAAGGGGTAGCTGGTGGGTGTCAATATAAGCAGAGCTTACTTTTTGCATAGACTTCAGCAAACATACCAGAGGAACAAAATTCATCTGCACAAGACTCTCAATTTAGAAGGGAAAAAAATCGAATAACTTCCTGAGAAGAGCACTAATACAATTTTAAGAATATGTTCTGTAGATCCATGAGAAATAAGATGTTTATGTATTTCCGCAAGAATCAAATTACATTCGCACATGATTCCAATTTTGTAAAATGAAAAATCACAGATGAAACCACCAAGTCCTAATTCAATGATTCATAGCCAAAGCATGTTTTTTTAAAAAATCACTTTTCAAATGGGGATGTGAGTAACTCACTCAGGCCTGCTAAGAAGAACCAGAACATAGCATTGCACATTTGAATTATCACGGAAAAGTTCCGAAGGCAAGAGACAAACTGTGACTGGAAAAGGTGAGGTTACCATTGAATAACCAGCAAGGATCTACAGACTGATTGCTCTCTGAACACCCATTGGGCACATGGCACCATATCAAGAAAGAACAGACAGGTCCTAGTTAAAATTGTGTAAAAGAAAATGTTAGGAGGCCAGACTAACAGCAGGTAAATAGTGACAATGGGCCTTTAGAGGTTCATGTGGATACCTTCTGATCTCAACCCAAGAACCCCATAACAAAAAACCAGATGCACTGGAAAAGAAGTTGCCTCACCTGTTTTTGGAAGAGGGTAACTAATGTTAAATAAATCTTCCAGAAAAGAGAAGATGGGGCCGGTGATGTTCAAAGCAAAATCCGCATTCCCATTTGCAATGGCATCTTTTCGGGCCCAGATGCGTATCTATATCAAGACAATTAAACAGTGATTAGGACAAGCATGTGTGATGGTGAAAAATGGCAGCCTACTTACTCCAATTACCTTTTCAGAAGAAGTTCCATTAAAAAAAAAGAAACAACAAACTCAAACCTACTGTTCTTGAGTTGATTCCAACTCATGGCAACCATATAGGATCGAATAGAACTGCCATGTAAGATTTCCAAGGCTGTAAATCTTTACAAAACTAACCAGATATGGATCTGCTGGCTTCAAGTCACTGACACTTTTTTTTTTTTTTTGGGGGGGGGGGTTCACAGCAGAGTGCTTTAGTCACTGAGCCACCAGAGCTCCTTAGCTACATAATAGAATCTTCAAATGCATATGTGCCAAGAAAAGCACAGAAGGCTGCTCACTAAAGATGTAAGCAGTAATTCCCAAAGAGTGCATTCTTTTAACTTTTTCAAGAACATGTATAACTTTTGTCATGAAGAAAACAATCCCTGGAATGGTCCACACTGACATCCATTCCCACAGAAAATGAACCTTTTATGGCGCACTGGTTATGAATTGGGCTGCAAACCTAAGGTAAGCAGTTCGAAACTACCAGCTGTTCCGTGGGAGAAAGATGAGGTGTTCTGCTCCTCTGTAACAATTTACAGCCTTGAAACCCCGTACAGGGTCGCTATGAGTCGGAACCGACTCCACGGCACACAGCCACCACCATGTAAGGGTAGAAGAGGACCTTACATGCCTTTTCAGGATATATTCCTAATTATCTAAAACAGAATCCTGCAGGTGGTGGCGGTGGAGTTTATACAGTATGGTCCATTTTAAGCAATTTGAGTCTTGTGCAAAAACTGGTGATGAAAACTTTAACAATCTCACCTTGTTTTCAAATTTTAAAAGAAGGTAAATTTCCCTAATAAAAAACATCATAAAAATTCTTATGATTTTAAGAGTGCAGACTTTTGGGACCTTATCCATCCAAAAAGCACTGGACTGCAAACTACAAGGTCCACAGTTTGAGCTCACCATCTGCTTTGCAGAAGAAAGATGAGACTTTCTGTTCCTGTGAAGACTTAAAGCATTTAAAGTATATGAAGTACGCTGTGTCGCTCTTCAAACTTTGAATTAAAACTACCCCCCGAAGTCACCTTTAAACTAAGTCACAGTTTAGCACGAAGAGTAAAGTTTACCACCCTTAAGTTAAAAAACGAAAAAGTTCTATGCATAAGACCAAAGTGTCAACAAGTGTTTTAAAGCACAGATGGGAATGTTGGTGGTCAGGGAGTTTAAGTAAATGGAAGTGAAACAGCTAGAACAGCAGTAATGAAAATGTTGACGAAATATAAAGTATGTAAACAGTGCCACTGATCATTATGTCTAGAAACTGTGGAATGGGAGCAGATTTTGCTATGTATATTTTCACCATAAATAAAATGAAATGTTTTTCAACCTCTTATGATTTTAAAGCTGGTGAAGCAGGTGAATGATAAACTCTGTTTATGCTCTTGGCCTATGGTGCCTGCAATTGTTTGGAACATCTCTGTGTGATTTTGGTGTTATTAGCATTCATTACTATCATAATATAGAGTCCTGGTGTGGTGCTGTGGGTTAATGTGCCAGACTGTAAAGCCATTTGAACTGCAAGGTCGGCTGTTCAAACTCACCAGCTGCTCCTTGGAAACCCTATACAGGGTCGCCATGGGTCAGGATCAACTCGACGGCACTCAACAACTATTATAATATAAAATCATTTTTCACCTTATATATCATCTAACTACTTTTTAATGGAGTTGCTAGTATTGATTTTAAAATGCACACCTGAAATTCTATAACTCTGGAACAAGAGTTAAAACTTAATGCCATCAAATAGATTTCCACTCTTAGTGGCCCTACATTGGGTTTCCAAGACTGTAAATATTCATGGGAGCAGACAGCTCATCTTTCTCCCATGGAGCTGCTGGTGGGTTTGAACCACCAACTTTGTGGTTAGCAGCCCAACACCTAACCCACATCCCTGACAGGGATCCTTGGAACAAAAGTTGTTCTTGTCAAGTCAGTTGCCACTCATAGCAACCTGCCATCAAGTGGATCCAACTCTTGGGAGTCCTGGTATTTCGTTATTGGCCCTATAAATGGTTTCCAAGACTGTAAATCTCATGGGAGCAGAAAGCCTCATCTTTCTCCAACAGAGGAACAAAAGTTAAAGGTGAGGAAATGAAAACCATCATTTTTATGAGTGCAATTAATTTAAAAAAGAGCTCTATGGAAAACACTGGCAATAATGCTATGGAAACAAAATACAGCACTACAATATCTGTAGATTTTTGCACTCCAAGAGCACATTCACCTTACTTTGCTTTCATTCCTGCTAGAAAATTAGTCCCCTATTATGTGACTTTTGAATTACAATTCAGGAATGTTCCCTTTCACAAAATATAACAACCTGTGTTTGAAGACTTTGTGCCTAGATCCCTCCATTTCTTTTGTAGAGTCAGTTCTGGCTCAGATTGACTCCATGCACAACAGAACTAAAAATTGTGCCATCTGACAGACGAGTGGTGGTACGCACCTTCAGGCATCTCTATTTGGGGAAAGATGAAGCTAGAACTTGGTTTTGCCACTACAATAAATTTGCCCTCCTCTAGCTCCACCTTCTGAGGCAGGAGTTAGGAAGCCTGCTACACCAACACCCACATTGTTGTTGTTAAGTGCCATTGAGCTGGTTCCGACCCATAGCAACCTTGCATAGGGTTTCTAAGGAGCAGCTGGTGAACTTGAACTGCCAACCTTGAGGTACAAACCGACTTTGCCATCCAGCGCATTAGCCCACAGTGCTAAACTAGGACTCCACATTAGTGAGCAGAAATAATAGTGCCTCTACCCACCTTCAAGATAATGTGTGCAAAAAAAAAAAAAAAAAAGAGATAATGTGTGCATTTTTACTGTGTCCTGTTGGAAAACAACAGCAATAACAATTATGTTTGTATATTTATTTTCAGTTTACAAAATTCTGCTGCATAAATTACCTCTATAATGTAAAGGAGAAACAAGTGTTTTGGATTTCAAGGTAAATGAGAGGCAAAGTGACTTCTGGTCAGTCAATGAAGCACACATTTAGGAGATGCAGTGTAAAAGTTTCTTCAAAATCACACCTGGTCTACTAGTGCATCCTGATGATCTCCTCTACACACAGAAGAGCAAAATCTTCACAAGTGCCCACATGTGATAAATTCTACTAAGAGTATATAATATCTTATGCTAGTCACATGTTTCCTGTGTTATCCTCATATCATATATTAGCCACATTTTCAATATCACTAAACGTTTATCTCTTATTTGATGAGCACTTTTTGTATAGCCTGGACACTATTCCAGGAGTAGATTTTTGCTCCTCAATAGGACAATGGAGGATTCAATTTACATTGGAAAACTGAGCCATAGCCAAATGCACTGATGAATCCATCCCAGAGTTTTATCTTCTGGTTAAGGACATCCCTTTCTTAGGCACTCTCCATTTTCTTTTTGTGTCTATGTCTGTTGACATTCTTTTCAGGGTGATCTTTCACCTGAAAGATGAAATAGATTGCATCCTTTGCTAGAATGGTTGGCAGTGTAGCAGCCAGAGAACAGCAAGTCACTTGATATATGGGTGACCACCTGGGGCACTATAGCTATGTGGTTGCTTCTTTGTGCCTGGCTCTGAGTATGTGCTTCCCAAGTCATGCCTGAACAGATTTATCAATATACATCATGAACATTTGACTTAACCAATAGTAATTTTTGGAGCTCTGGTGTGAGCTGTGAGTTAATGCACTGGACTGCAAAGTTGGTTTGAACTGCAAGGTCGGTGGTTCAAGCTCACCAGCCACTCCTCGGAATCCTTATACAGGGTCGCTATGGATCGGAACCGACTCAACGGCTTTTAACAACAAATACTAGTTTTTCGAATATCAAGGATACATTGTTGTTGTTGTTGTTAAGTGCCGTCAAGTTGGTTCCGACCCATAGCGACCCTGAACAGGGTTTCCGAGGCTGTAAATCTTTACGGGAGCAGAAAGCCTCATTTTTCTCCCGCGGAGCAGCTGGTAGTTTCAAACAGCTGACTCTGAGGTTAGCAGCCCGATTTGTAACCACTATGCTACCAGAGCTCCTTAAGGATATATTGTTGTTGTTGTTAAGTGCCGTGGAGTCGGTTCCGACTCATAGCGACCCTGCACAGGGTTTCCGAGGCTGTAAATCCTTACGGGAGCAGAACGCCTCATCTTTCTCCTGCTGAACCGCTGGTAGTTTCGAACTGCTGACCTTGCGGTTCACAGACAGATTCGTAACCACTAGCTAGATATATTAGTCATTATTTAATAAGGGAAAACAGGCCAGAACCAAAAGATAAAAGCCAATGTTTGCCTTCAACATGTATAGAAAGTTCCCGGGTTACATACATCAGATTGTGGACAACTCTTATTAGCAGTGTCAGATTACCCAATAAAGAAGGTAAACACAGACTTACAATTTCACATTTTTCACCATAGCAAAGATTCTACTTTTAGATATAGCTAGCATCTATCTCTCTCCAACCCCATAGCACCTTCCTGCAGAATCATAACCTTTTTTCAAATATATAATCTCTGACAGGGATGGAGTACCCAGTAAGCAAGGTAAGCACGGGATAACTTATTCTTACTTACCTGTAGTGAATTTCACCACCAGTAAGTGAGCACAGTAAGTCTGTGCTTGTCTTGCCTACTGGGTAATCCACTCCAGTGTACTTTTCCTTTAATGTTATGCAAATTTACCCATACTTTGAAACTATTGAACCAACTCTCACTTGCAACATATTCTTTATCATAATCATCTTCACTTGCTGCATGTGCAGCTTTTATGTATTTTTTTATTTAGCATTAAGGAGCAGAGTTTATTGTGAACCTCAGGGTATAAAAAATCTGGGGATTTGATTGCATAGCCAGGCCTGCAAGAGACAAACGATTAGAGAGTGGACAGTTCAGCAGCCATGCAACGCT